ATTGTATTCCGTATTCGTGTGCTGGTTTCGTTCGATTTCTCTCCGCGGTGAGATTTAATAAAACTCGTAATTAAACAAAATCATGCAGAAGCGGGTAAGCACTAAATATGATTTACCTACTCTAGGTACCTAGGTAGGTACATAATACATTGCAAATTATTAGAATCTAGAACGCCAGTGTAAATTAAGAACGTAGAAAGTATATCTCTTCCGATATCTACTTATGCAGTGAAAGTTGATACAAAAGTTCTCATTAGCCCTTCAACATGAATGCGACAATGATGCCTCCGTTAGATGGCTGTACGGGAATAATGCTATAATGATTTCCGTATTATAATTAGAGACAGTTTGATTTCGTTGTTGACCTTAGCATTACATACTTTTTTACGCTTTTTTATATTGACACTAATATATTTTTTAACAAAAATATCCGTAGAGTACTGTTATAACTGAATTCATAGATCTTACTAGGTATCAATTTATTTGTCAAGTACCTAAGTCCTAAATGAACCGCCAATTTGATGCTCTAACTTTCATGAAAAAGAAATACTTAGGTATATATCTGATAAAATAGAGTAGTGGCACAGTTTATGCTGAAAATAATTCTGATTACATAACATTCTCCAAACTTTAAAACTTGTTATGTGCATGTACTACATTATGTAATGAACTCATTCAGCTAATATACGGGGAGCTGGCTGCATAAAAATGTTAGTTACCCTTACAAGACTGATTTTTTTTTGTAAATTGTAAATCTTGATACAGAGTCAAGTAGAAATTATAGACTTTTTTGTAGCGTTTTTTATGCCACATTAACCAGTGATTGCTAAAATTATTTAAAAAAATGTTTATTATGGCCCTTTTAAACTGTATGCATGTTACTCGTTTTTGGTGAATACGATAACTCAAAAACGCCTCAACCGATTTTGTTGAAACTTGGAATAATAGGTTGGCATGCGGGTTAGCAAACGTCCTATTTTGGTGTCGGTCCGTTACCATGTTCAGGGTTTTTGAGGGTGTCAAAAGTTTAAAAGGGTCATAACGCATTGAAATTTTTTTTGGCATTTTTTCCGCATACGCTGGCTAATGTGGCATAAGGAACTATACAAAAAGTCTATTGTAAAGTGCAATGTTGAAAATCGCAAACTTTAATTTATCTGTTAGAAGGTTATCTCTTCATAATCTCACATGTCACATGAAGTGCTGTCGAGATTCATCACTGCGCCCTATAAACGTTGGGGTTTTTGAAGGCCATTTCCCGAAGCAGCGCTATGATCGCTGAAAAGTATCAGATACAAATATTGGAAGTCTTCACCAACTAATGATCGCTGTAAGGTATCAGGTAGGTAACTAACTTCATGATGATGAAATAAAATGAGGATACTTGGAACAAGCCGATGCTAGGTCCAAGCAGCACATTACATTATATTTCTTGCATTTTACTATGATCGATCACAAGTTTCGTGTTAGGTTCGAGGATATAGGTTACAATATATTATTGACCCGACGATACCCCCGAGCTCACTGTTTCGGAAATAGGTACTGTAGATTTAATAACTGCGCGACGGCTCTGGTTTTTTTTATTAAATCACCAAGTTAGTCATTCCTGGGTGGTAATTCCCAGGCGCCAATAATTAAAATGTTTAGGTTTGTTAGGGAATTAATCGAAAGAATAAAACTTCCCCTTATGTGATGGTTTTGTCCGTTCGTCCAGCGATGTCAAACCTTTGTCAACTCATTTCTACAGCTTGAGAAAATATTGACTGAAGGTAGCGGAGGGCTGGCACGAACGAAAGTAAAACGCGTCGATTACCATGGGTTTCTTGTTTATCTTGAGTACCTACCTCTTTATCGGGTGAAAATGCTCACACGGATGTTATTTATTTGGAGCGCAAATACGTAGAATTCCCCGCCGTGGGCAAACGTTTTTTAATATGGCAAACTTGCTGCTCCGTCTCGACTGTACGATGTAGTTTAAGCGTTTTCTAAGGGTTTTTACGCGAGTACCCCAAAAATGGATGTTTTATTTCAAACCTTCGCCGATTTTTCCATTCGTACGAGGTTACAATAGAAGAAATATTAAGTAATCAATAATTCGAAAATTGAAAATTTTTAAAATAGACTATACGTACTTTATATAAATTTACTCTTATTTTTTTACCTACCTAACAACACACAGTTAAAAAATGGGAGGGGCGGGGGCATTTAAAAATAACTTTTAACGATTTTCTCATAGTCCAGGCAACGAAGGAAAAATAGCGGAAAAAAATCGTGTAGAAGTCAATGTGGGCACAGATGTAGGGGAAGGTATCTTGAACAACATACTAAAAGTACTGGGGGGTGGGGTGTGAGCTAAGGGTGGGGGGAGGGGTTAAAGGTCCCTTTTTTTAGTTTTTCGTGTATCATTTGAAAACGATTGCTCCTAATTAAAAATTTTGCTCTACAGAATTAAACAGCATAAAATTATCTACAAAATGATATAGCACAGTATATAATAATAATAATACTTAATGAAATACAGAGGGAAGAAAAATCAAAATTTTTAAAATAGTCGTATATACACGACAAGTCTAATTGCGACTATGTTACGTAGACGAGATTGTGTGGGTAGGAGTCAAAATCGTCATCGTCGTCGTCGTCATCGATGGCATCGTTCGGGGCTCCATTCGTGCACATGCCAAGGCAATTGCCGCAAGCGACGGAGCAAGCAATGTCTGCTTTGCGGCAGTCACACCTCCCTCTGTACCCAGTTGTACATCGGCAAAATATTGTGTTAAGTATCGCCTCGGGTGCCACTGGATCATTTGTGGTTACTGGGAATAATACCCCGTCTTCTCCTTTGGCACACCCCATTGAGTGGGCGGTAAGGGGTTATTGAGCCACTGTTGTATCTGTAAAAAATCACACAACGCTCTCTTTCCTCTTAAAACTGTCTACTTGCTCATCTTTTCTCAGAACAGTAGATCTTACTAATCCATTGATTCCTTTTTTCCCCACTTAACATAAATTACTGTCAACACCATCCTCGCAAATTAAACACTTATCAGCCACAGTTAATCATGTGGCATCAAGTAAAGTAAAACACAAGTCAATTAGACACGCTATAGCTTAAAGATGCTCAACTTATCTTAAAGACTCACTAAAGACAATGGAACTGAATGACTTCGTTCGCGTCGTTGTCATGAGACAACGCGTTACATTTGAATAGATGAAACGATTGAACAATAGGAGCCTCATAGCGTGATTAGAGTGAACTAATGACGTCCTTGCTGTCCACCAGCATGCACTGACCCCCCCCCCCCCGTAGACCCCCACCCTCCCGCCTACGAAATATAATCACATTCGGGATCCCCGTGTGCGTACCGGTTAAAATTTTAAAAATTTAATTTTTCTTCCCTCTGGATCTCGTTAAGTATTATTATTATCATATACTGTGCTATATCATTTTGTAGATAATTTTATGCTGTTTAATTCTCTACAGCAAAATTTTTAACTATGAGCAACCGTTTTCAAATTATTCACGAAAAACTAAAAAAAGGGACCTTTAACCCCTCCCCCACCCTTAGCTCACACCCCACCCCTCAGTACTTTTAGTATGTTGTTCAAGATACCTTCCCCTACATTTGTGCCAAAATTGGCTTCTACATGATTTTTTTCCTCTATTCAGCCTTTTTTGGGCTTCGTTGCCTGGACTATCAATTGAATTTTTAATGTTAGTTTTTTAACCCCCTGTATTTATTTATAATTAAAGTGTTATCACAGTTCACGAAGCGAAACCTTTTAAACAATTTCTCAATTAAATAATAATAGCTGTAATATAAAATTAAAATATGTCAAAAACGGATAAATTTAGGTATAGGACATTATACCTGAAATTTGTGTTGAATATTACTTAGAATCATCGGGACAATTATTGGAAAAGATTGTTTTAGGGTGAACCTATGTATAAAAAAAATTGGGAACGCTCTTGTAGTCCCCCAGTTTGAAAGACAAAGCATCCCTTTTTTTACTTGTTTATTTAATTAATCAATTACTATGAAACCTACGGTTGGCGCGTTTTTTTGTGATCTATGCCACATTTAGGGTTTGTAGCAAATGTATAGGTATTAATGGATACGTCTGCGCCAGATGAAGAATTTGTTTGCCCAAACTCTTCTTCCCGAGCTAGTATGTCTTAACGATATTTTGGGATCAAATGAATTGCAACGACGTTGACAGTAAACTTTTTCAAGGCAAACCTTGCCAAATTATTATTATACATATAATCTTGACGCTTGGAAAAGTCTCCCTACCTTTACTTATTATCCTGTAAGTTCCACAGAAGTCAGAGGCTCTCACCAATCCTTTACGACCACTAATTGACTCACTGAACACCAAGTGAAATATTTGCCACAATGACGACGGCAGGACGGTCCAATTGGCGCTTAGCATATTTGTTGACCTCATCTTTCTTTATGGATCTCAAGTTACAGCTCCAGGACTACATTACCATTTGCAGAATACAATAGCGGCATGTCATTTAAATGACACCATTAGAGAATCTCCTGTTGTTCAAAGAATGATGGAAAGCATGTAGGTGAACAACGAGTAGCCTTTGTTTAGTATAGAATATCAGCTCTTGAGGCACTTTCGGTTCAAGATACTCAGAACCAGAAGGAAGCTAAAAACCTGTTTGATACGCTGTTCCTATTGATGATGATGACAAAAAGAAGAAATATAGAGACTGAATGGATAGATTTATTTTTATGAAAAAGTGGAGTGTGGGGAAAACAAGCTCTTAATTATGGAACTACTTCTGTCGATGAAGAAAAGAAAGCATCTAATTATCACATTGAGAGAGCATTCTTCAACTTGGTACTTAGGGAATGCCGCTTCAATCCATGGACGAAAGTTCGGCGAAATTTATTTCCTACAGTCGTTATAAAGACAATTAGATAGGTAGATCAATAAACTTTGATAAAAATAAAATATGTCAGATTTGACATGTTTACAACTATCATTTAACATTCCTACTTTCAAAACTAAACAAAATTCCAGTAAAGATATTTACTTATCAAACATTTAATATGGTTTTTATTAATTGAGGCATCTGAATTGAATAATTGCACAAGCGGGTATGATGGACACCCCTTTAATGGTTACAATGGAGTATATCTCAAAGTCGTAAAGTTTGGATAGAATTATACGCACCGTTAAGCTATACAGTATGTACGTACGTATAGTAGGTACCCTTTTCCTTACTTGCATAGTGTTTTTGAAGCTAACTGCAAAAGAGAAAACAAAAGATTCAAGCAGAGATTGTAAAACGCATGGTAAGGATCTATTCTTTTGACAACACTGCTTACAACGACGGTTTCCATGTGTAAAAAATATTTTATGAAAGATGATTTTTCATGGCATCGGTACTATCTTTGAATATAAAATATAAGATATTCAAAGGTAGGTACTATCATAGAGGAAAATTGTATTTCCTCTATGGTACTAAGTATACAGAGCAGCTCACGTTGAAGTTTTTCTACGCAACTGTAGGTGCAAAGTTTTTAAGTGTTGGTATGTAAGAACTGTTTTCCGTTCTGATTTCATAGGACATTCATCTAAGGAACAACACGTAGTAAAATGTTGTCACCTCGCGGCACACCCTGTTGAAATCGCGAAGTATCGCTGATAAGAAATCGCATAAATCTTGTTCGACATATAGTCGAAGATAATGCGGTACACAATAAACAGTAACTTTATCAATGTAGCTTATATTAGCCAACATCAGCAGTACTTACAAGTTACAGTTACATTGATTACATACAACCATTGAGTAACCTAATCCTTCACTCAACGATACAACCAAATAGCAATTGGATATTTTTCACTACTCTAAAAATTGACACAAACAATGGCAGCAAGTACTGTTGCACGTTCAATTTTCTTGTTCCAAAAAACATAGACTAAAACTTTTACTAAATAATTAAATGTTACAAACGGGGTTTAATGTGGAGAAGTTAAGTTTGATTATTACGTAGTTGAGCATTGTCCCGAATTGTGTAGGATTTTAAAGCGATTAAAAAATGGTTATATAACAACAACACCCATAACATACCATTCTAACGGCATTTATATGAAAATATTGTATTAAATATTCTATAAATCCCGATAGACATCGAGGCACCATGAAAGATTAATTATCGGCGATAAGAAACGAAAGCGGATATGACGCATTCTTTCTGGGAAATATGCCGTGTTTTTTCGAGAACATTCTAGACTATTCAGGAGCGTTCGAGAACATCGAGAAATATGGAAGTTTGCTATACAAGCAAAACGAATTGTGCTTCAGGCAGTTCTAACATCGATTCTAAGTGAAATATTAAGCTCCTGCTTATGTTATGGTATAAATTGTGAATGAGATAAATTATAATTACTGTTATAAAGTAATCCATTGTTATAAATTATTAGTTATTATTGTTAATTCATTGTAAATCAAATAAAAATATCACTATTCATTTTTTTTGTTTCTCGATTTTTCATATTCCATATATTACACTCGAAAATAATGTCAAACTCTAAAGAACATTTTTATTGTCATAGATGGTATCTAAATTCTGTAATACTTTGATATGGTCCATAATGTACGTACAATACCTATGAGATCTCTATAATGTACAATGATAGGTATAGGTTATTGTTTTAATATTTTGTACTTTTAATAACAATGATTCGACTGTATCGTATCGTATATCTAATCCTTATCTGACATACTTGAATTACTGCATGCGAAGCTAACTGGATTACATAAATTTTGATCTATTTCTTGTTAACATTTCGATCAATTTATTCTGGAGAAGAATTATAAATGATTGCTGTTAGTTACAAAATAAGAGTACCCACTTGCAGAAAAATTCATGTTTCGCATTGGGGTAAGAAGCTGTGTAGTTATAGCAGTATTCCCAAACAAAAACTAGGAATCTATTTAAAAAAAATCAATCTTAAGATTTATTTAAATACGTCACCAGCTACACACTGCGTTTTTGTGTTTCAGAATGATACTTCAACGGACCATACGGGATCGCTTTTATCTGCATGTGATGACGATGAAAACGTCAACGACCCAATATTGGAAGAGTCAGAGTCAAAATGCAAGAAAGAGATATGTGAACACCATAAACCAAATGGAGAAATGCGACTGTATAGCTTAAAAGATGCCCCCGAATATCTACAACATAATGTATTTATTTTGACAGGATATCGCGGGATTTTAAATACTAAATTGTGCATTGAAAGGTTGGTTGTTGCTTTCACGTATACACGACATTCCTATCCGTTAACTTTCAGCATATTTTGGTGGACCAATGAAACAATCAACATATGGTCCCACATTTTTGGATGGCTTCTATTTGTAGGACTAACAATTTACGATCTATCCTTACTGAATTTGCATGCATCCTTTCTTGACAAACTGTGTGTTGCAATGCTGCTGATATGTTTTCAGGTAAGTATTGATACATCACGAATGCAAGGTACTTCAGCGTGTTTTAGGTTTGCATGGGTCTCTCAGCTGTGTACCATACATTTTCCTGTCGTTCTGAGGACGACTGTAATTACTATTTATCACTTGATCTGTTCGGAATTGCTCTCTCTCTACTTGCTATTTACATGTCTGGAATTTACTACGCTTTTTGGTGCCACCAAGTAAGTTGGTAACGCGGTGATGTTCCATTAGAAACACGCATACTTTTCAGGCGATGTTAAATTTCTACTTAGTTACAATTTTCCTAATATTTTGCGGCGCTATGGCGTTGCAGCATCCGAAATTGAATGCAAACACAAACGTAAAAATGTTTGTATTTGTTTTATGGGCTGCATATGGAATAGTCCCAACGATACATTGGACGTTTATAATGGGAGGTTTTGCCAACCCTTTAGTTAGTGTACGTACCTCGTATGTTTTAACGGGAATATATCGATCGCTTTTAGATGCTCATCCCAAGGGTGATGGGGATGTACTCGATAAGCGGTACCGCCTTTTTGATTTACTTGACCAAGGTGCCGGAAAGGTTTTGTGCAGGAAAATTCGATTATTTGGGACACTCCCATCAGTGGTGGCATTTGTTTGTAGTTGGCGCACTGTATTACTGGCACAATACCGGAATAATGTATGCGGAATATCGAATGAATCATGGATGTGCCACATCGCTGAGGTTGGACTATTGATGTTATTTAAAATTTAGTCTATATACCAATTGATTAGATTAGAGTATATAATTATTGTATGTAGATATTTTTCCAGTTAAGTATTTACCTACCTACAAGTAGATCTGTTTTGCTACTATTGACTGTGATAAGGGCCTTTCTTATATCCAATTAAAGTGACAATGAATTAGTTTGGTCGAAATAAAGGTTACTGTGTTTTAATTGTTTAAAAAGTGCAACAGTAAGTATAGTATTGTATTGGTAATCAAGTATACGTAACCCTCTTTCTCTGTAGGGCGAGGTAGTGACGTGTACAGAATTTTATGCGCCTACCTTAGTTTCGCTACAGCTGAAGAAGATAAGTAGGTATAGCACGAATTTTCGTTAGATGATCAGTCACTTCTCCGATGAAATGCGTCATATCATTGAATAAAAACACTATAAGAAGCCTAACCCCGTGGAAATAAAGCGCGACAGAGTTTGAACTGAGAATATAATGGGAACACTGTCAGTAGAGTCGATTCTTGAACTGAGAAGAATGAGAATTTGCTTTCCTCCTATTTACCGCAAAGAGAGTTCGGCGGTCACAACCAATGCGGGTGCAAGGGGATTTGTGAGATTTGTCGCGCTTTCTTCCATAAGCGTTAGGCTTCTTATAGTGTTTTTATTCAATGGTCATATGGAGATGGCTGTATTTTGAACAAAATAAATGCATATAGTAATACCACAGACAACATATACTAGTATATGTTGTCTGTGGTAATACAGCCCGTTTCAAATTAAGTCAACACTATATGCTAACATTGTTAGTTGTAAAATAAGAAAGAAAGATTTTCTACTGAACCCAAATCTGTAATCTAAAAAAAACAAAACAACATCGCATTTTTCAGATAAAAACAAAAATGTGACTTATATGGAACACCCTGTATGCTATATCATATGAAAGCATGCAAAAGTTCTTAATGCACCATATCCAATTTCAAAATACTTAAATAACCAAGATTTTCCAATTATTTTCATTTCAATCTGGGTATCCATGAAAATGATAAAATACATAACAGTAGGTAGATATTTAAAACAATAATTGGAACCAGGATTTATTATAGTGGTTGTTACCAAAACAAGAATAACGGGTGAAATGGTAAATACATATAAAAATAACTTATAATAACTCTACAACATACAAGTTACAACGTTTCCATTTCCTGCAGTAGGTACACGCGTACAGGGCGCGAGACTTTAAAATAAACAACGTCATTTAATCATTTTCATGGATAACTAGATCGAAATGAAAATAATTCAAACATCTTGGTTATTTGAAGTATTTTGGCTATGTTGCATTAAGAATTTTTTGTAGCGAATCATATGATTATAATATACAGGGTGTTCCATATAAATTAATCACATTTTTATTATTATCTGAAAAATGTGATGTTCTTTTGTTTTTTTAATAACAGATTTGGATTCAGTAGAAAAGAACACATAATTTTGATAGGTAACGTAACCGTCTTTCTAATCCTACAATTAAGAAAATTAGCCGATTTAATTTGATGACTAAAGCAGGCCTTCCACGTGCATTCATTTCATCGAACTTGGAGTGTACACTCCTGCAAACAGACCAAGTTCGAACGTGGAAGTGGTCATCGCGCAAAGTTTGCATCGTTCTTGGTGCGGAGCGAAGAGTTTTGCCAATCCTAAATTCTTGGCGCGGAGCGATGCTAGGCGCGCGCGGATGTGGTTGGCGCTCCCGGAGTTAAGACTTAAGACAAAAGTGAGATAGATTTACGCATTTGTAGTATATGAGGAACCGAAAACGCATATCGTTGTTTTCGCGTGCACAATCGTACCTGTATTTGTTCGCCAAGTTTGTACGAACCATGTGCGAACGTGGAAGTGGAGTTTCAACATTCTGTTCCAAGTTCGAAGACATGGCGTTAATTCAAAGTTCGATAAAATGAATGCACGTGGAAGGCCTGCTTAAGTATAACAATCTTAATCACCATGGTAATTGTTAGTAGGTATAGCAATTCAATGGTATAGCTATAGTAGGTATATTTTTCTTAGCTAAGGTGCTCGAGTCCCAATAAACAGAGTCTAACGTTACCATCTTGAAAACTTGCGTTAGATGAATTTTCCATGGACGGCAATTTAAAAAAGTAATAACGAGATTGATTTGTTTAGTAATTTTTAATTTGTGACATAAATAATCACATTGCGGGATTGTTTATTAAATATCTTTGATAAGAAAAATGTATATCGAAACTCGTAAACGAAATAAGTAAATAAATATTGCGCCGTACTTTGAATATTCCAGAATAATCAAAGACGCCACTCGCCAGACTTGATGTTCACCTATCGATTTTAGTAGCGACATCTACATATTTAATATAAAAGCCATACTTACCTCTCTCTTCTGGAGTTAGTTACTACATTACTAGCTCTTTTACTAGATGGCAGACCGTTCTATAATATATATTTATTCGCATCTGATGTATTCAAATTGCCCACAGTTTTTGTCTAATATTGTTCTATCACCATTATCATTGAACATTTTATTCTTTAAATTTCCAAAAATTTATGACCTTTAAAATGTCTACAACTAATCATTTTCGTTCATATAACTAAACTGTAAGTAGGTATATGAAAATGAAAGTGCTTCGTTATTACACAGATTTAAATAGTATATTTAAATCTGTGGTTATTATAACAGTACATCTTCTTGACTGTATTTTAGGGTAATGCATAGGCATTCCAGAATATTAACTACCAAGAGATTTTCCGCGGAAAAATTCGCACCGGGCAGTTTTGCCTCCGAGTAGATTCGCTCCTGAAGGATTCGTATCCAAAATATTTGCCCGGAAGATTGAACACAATAAAGGCCGTCGCCGTCTACAAATGTTTGTCATTCTTACAAAAAAACGCCAATAAAAATTGATTTTCACTCCTAAAGATGTCCAGGATTAATCAAGCAATGCTACAGTACAGACCTCATCAAGAGTTGAGGTGGAATGGATGGTAGTGTCCTTAAATTATACAGGGTGCAGAACGCATTTACACACCATAGGTATTTCAATGGAAATTTCTTCGTATTGAAATATTTCTCTTTTACAGCAAAGTTGTAAACAAATTTTTTGTAGATTGTAAGATTTTGCGTCTATTTAAAAAAAAATAATAACTTTCATAAATAAGAAAGTTGCCATTGCGCATGCGCAAGACAACATTTTGAACACGTCGTTAATTTTACTTATATTCGTAGTAGACCTCTCATTATAGGTTTTATCTACGGAAAAATTCATAGTGAGCTAAATTTTTGTATAGGTAGGTAGGTACACCTTTATTACGGCATTTTAATTAATATGTGAAAAATCGACATTGATATCGTGCCGGCTAAACGTGTTACAAAGGTCAAAAGGCCGCGAAAATCAGTTTCGCATATTAAGGATCACTATGCAAAAAATTTCGTGTACAACACGTGTTGAAGGTGTCACTTTCAAAACTAGTTGTACAAATAACTATTACGGGACCAATTTCTTTAAAGTTTCATTCAAAACCAATAATTTTTTTGGGGATAATGTACCTACTTACTTTGCCGGCAGGTGCAACTGTTATAATATCTCTATAAATGACTGACTGAGAGGGTAAAAAACTTGAATTTCTTATTTTTCAGCATTCCATAGCTGTTTTCTAGGACGGATTCGAGTCCAAAGTTTCAAATCATTCTATAGATCTAAAACGACTCGAGCAAAGTATATCTGTGTGGATTTGAATCCATGGCCCGAATCAATCATTGGAAGAATCATCCATCTCTGTTCTTTTATTTGCCATGAACATGAATTGGAGTGTAGGAACTCGTTAAAGTTATACCATGTCGAATAAATTGAAAAAAAATTGGCCTATGCTGGGATGCAATGGTATCGAAGAAAAAATAACAACGGGAATTGTTTTGTACATACCTACATTTTCACGAAGAAATCAATAACGTCGAAATACTAAAATAGGTACATACAATCGGAATCCGGAGTAATGTACGAACCGAGCTACCACAGACGTTCATTATCTGCCCTGTGGCACATAACTTATTTATTTTATTTATTGTACCTACCTCTCTTGTGCTGGGCAGTCAACAGGCTTGTGCCCAATTTCAGATCGAGTAACTCGTATAATGCTTTTTCAGAGGTGCTCGGAGTAGCTCGAAATTGATCTAAGGAAATTCACATCTCTGCCACAGATGAAAAATTCTTACCTCACCCCAGATTCGAACACCGTACCTTCCGGCTATCGTCGTAGGAAAGTAAACGGTCGAAGTGCATTTGAAGTTTACGACATATTATGTCATTTAATAATTGAGTGTAATGAAAAGGAAAACCTTTTATAGTACAAGCTAAATTTGTTTCTATAACTCGTAAATCTGATGGTGATTTGACAACCTCTGACATCGTTGGATTCGCTGTTTTTCATCTTATACCAAAAAATATAATTGACGTCACAGGGCCACAGAAGCTGCTGTCGTCGAAGGTCGACCCCACATCATGTACCCCCGTCCCTAATGTGTTGATTGCATTGTTTTATACAACCACATATCGTTTGGCAATAAGTTACACCATTTTAAGCGTCGGGTTCGAGTGGGAGGGGGGGGATGAAGTTGGTAAATTAGATGTGTTTATCACGTTTTCTTAAATATTTAAAAAAACTACGCGCTTTATCGCGAAAAGGGCCATATTATATAAAAATATTTTTTTGAAATATTAATCAATGATTCTTCTAGTAAAGGCAAGCATATTGCATATTTTAAACATCAGGTGTGCGTATGGCTAGACTGCGCAATGCTAAGTTTCATATTTATAAGAATACCTATTTATGCCATAACTTATTTTCCTTTATACATATAAATAGTCCGAAAATGTATAAAAATATACTCCTCGCAAGAGCATTGAACTGTATCTACTACTACCACAAATTTTCTATTTTCCAGGAAATTTGCTCGACATGTATTCTCACACGATTAGAATGTTGTTAGCCGGTGCACCATCCGGTTGAAACAAACAATTTCCAACTTGTTTTTTTTGTGTAGGTAACCGTATATCATTGTATTCGTAATACTAATAAATAATGCTACTCAAACTCAATACAGTATGTACTCTTTTTACGGGTCATATATAAAATAAAGTTGATGATGATTTCTCCGAAACG